TGTCTCAGCCTCCAGAATCTCTGGGATTACAGGTATATGCCACCACGCCTGGCAGGATTTGGTTATTTTGAATTTGTGCACACTCACACAAATTCCAGGTTTACATGGCTTCATCAATAAATTCCTCCAAATATTTAAATAAAAAATAATACTTATAATCTTTTCCAGGAATTAAAACGAGAAGACAAGCTTTTTCTTTCATTTTATGAAGCTAACTTAACCTTGATCCACAACTTGACATGGTTCTGGCAAGAAAGTAAAATTACAGACTAATCTCTCATGAACATATGTAAAAACTTGAAAAAAATATTAACAAATGAAGTTCAGTAATATAAGAAAGATAATCTATCTGTACCGGGAGCCTCTGAGACCACAGGGAGGTTCATGCACTGCTAGGAGGACTCACAGGACTTGGCATGCAGTTGTACTCATGCTGTGACTTTACAGGGGAAAAAGAAAGCAGAATCAGCAGAGGAGAAACATGCGTGGGCTGCAGTCCAATGAGCGCAGGAATGTATTTCCAAGGTCCTCTCCTAGCGGAATCACAGTCCTGCTCAATCCTTCAGCAAAGAGTTCCCACAACGCACATGAAATGTTGTCTACAGGGAAACTCACAGATTCAGTGTCTAAGGTTTTTATCAGGAGCTGATTACCCAGGCACATTCTGCCTACCATGTACCAAAATTCCAGACTCCCTGAAGGAAAACAGATTTTCATTATAAGCCATTCTTTGAACAGTTTAGGCACAGGAGGTCACTTTGGATTCTTGGGAACGCTTCCAAACTCCAAATTCCCAAATGCCAGCCAAGAGCCAACCTTGCCAACAGGCCTTTCTAGGATAGTATTGTCACAACTTTTTTTTTTTTTTTGTACTGAGAATTGAACTCAGGGCCTCATGAATACTAGGCCAATGCTTTCTACTGAGCTACACTCTAGCTCTTTTTTAAAAAATTTGACATAGGAGGCGCCAAAAACATATATACTGGAGAAGAGAGAGTCTCGTCAACAAATGGTGCTAGGCAAACTGGAAATCCACATGCAGCAAAATGAAATTAAGCCCCCATCTTTCACCAGGCACAAAACTCAACTCAAAGTGGATCAAGGATCTAGGAATTAAACCAGAGTAATAGAATAAAAAGTAGGACCAAATCTTCATCACATCGGATTAGGTCCCAACTTCCTTAATAAGACTCCTATGGTGCAAGAAATAAAATCAAGAATCAATAAATGGGATGGATTCAAACTAAAAAGCTTCTCAGCAAAAGAAACAATCAGTGAAGTGAATAGAGAGCCTACAGAATGGGAACAAATTTTTACCACATGCACATCAGATAGAGCACTAATCTCTAGGATATATAGAGAACTCAAAAAAACTTAACACCAAAAAACAAACAAACAAACAAACAAATAACCCAATCAGTAAATGGGAGGAAATGAACAGACACTTCTCAGAAGATGACATACTATCAATCAACAAACATGAAAAAACGTTCAACATCTCTAGCAATTAGAGAAATGCAAATCAAAACTAAGATTTCGTCTTACTCCAGTCGGAATGGCAGCTATTAAGAACACAAACAACACAGACTGGGGTTGTGGCTCAGTGGTACAGCACTCGCCTAGCATGTGTGAGGCCCTGGGTTCGATTCTAGGCACCAAATAAAAATAAATAAAATAAAGCTATCGTGTCCAACTACAACTAAAAAAAAAAAAGAATACAAACAACAATAAGTATTGGCGAGGATGTGGGGAAAAAAGGAACACTCATGCATTGCTGGCCTGTAAATTGATGTAAACAATATGAAAAGCAGTATGGAGATTCCTTGGAAAACTTGGAATGGAACCAGCATTTGACCCAGCTATCCCACTCCTTGGTTTATACTCAAAGGACTCAAAAACAGCATACTGCAGTGATGCAGCCACATCAATGTTTACAGCAGCATAATTCACAATAGCTAAATTGTGGAAGCAACCTAGATGCCCTTCAGTAGATGAAAGGATAAAGAAACTGGTATATATACACAATGGAATATTACTCAGTATTAAAAGAGAATAAAATCATGGCATTTGAGGTAAATGGATGGAGTTGGAGAATATTATGCTAAGTAAGCCAATCCCAAAAAACTAAAGGCTGAATGTTTTCTCTGATATGTAGATGCTGATCCATAATGGAGATGTGGGGGGAGCATGGGAGAAATGGAGGAACTTTAGATAGGGCAAAGTTAAGGGAGGGTAAGGGAAGAGGCAGGGGGTAGGAAAGATGATGGAATGAGAAGGACATCATTACACTACGTACATGTACGAAGACACGAATAATGGTGTGACTCTATTTTGTGACCAAGAGACATGAAAAATTGTGCTCTATATGGGTACTATGAATTGAAGTGCATTCTTCTGGGCTGGAGTTGTGGCTCGGGGTAGAGAGTTTGCCTATCATGCATGAGGCACTGGGTTCAATCCTCAGCACCACATAAAAATAAAGATATTGTGTTCATCTATAACTAAAAAATAAATATTAAAAAACAAAAAAGAAATGCATTCTTCTGTCATGTTTAACAAATTAGAATAAATAAATAAATTTAAAAAAATTTGAGACAGGGTCTCTCTAATTTGCCCAGGTTGGCCTCCAACTTGAGATCCTACTGCCTCAAGTTACTAAGATTAAGGTATGCATCACTACACCTGGCCTATTTTAACTCTTTCCTGCACAATTTAATAACCAAATGGTTTGTTTCCAGAACAGTAAGATTGGTTATACTCTGGAATAATCAATGTAATAATCCATTATATTAGCTGAGTAAAAGGAAAAAAAATCATATGGTCATCTCAATAAATACAGAGAAAGCACTTAATAAAATGTGCTATAAGCCTTTAAGCAAACTAAAAATAGACTTTATTAATCTTCTGAGTATCTATAAAAATCTATAGTATATATTAATGATGAAATATTAAATACTTCCCCTTGAATTTGATCTAAGAATTTGATCTCCAACATACACACACACAAAAAAAAAGAAAGAGAGAAAAAAAGGAGACAGTATTTCAGATAATATCCATTATTACCACTTCTACTCAACTTTATATTGGAGGTCTTAACTAGTGCAATAAGGCAAGAAAAAGAAATTGAAGGTATAAGGATTGAAAAAGAAGTAAAAATGCTGTTAATGTGTTATGTACATAAAAAGCCAGATGTATCTAGCATGACCCATCAGGAATAATCAGTTTAATAAGGCCACTGGATATTGGAACAGTCTGCCATGGGCCCGCAGAAGTCCTGTACATTCTTACTGAGGGTCCTCAAAGGCCTTAATACTGAGCACACAGATAGTTCAGTAGGTCAAGGCAACCATGTGACTACTGTGCAATTTCTCCTTCCCCAGAGGAAGGGGCTTAGTCTGATTTGCTGCTTGCTAAAAAAAAAAAAAATGTGTTGAGCGCTTGGCCCTGGGCTTCTCAGCTGTGGCAAAACTGATTGTTCATGCCACCATCTGGGCTCACTGAGTTATTCATAGACTTGAGGACAGATGATCCAGGCTGCCATGCTGAGGCTTCTGTTGTTTGCTGTGTTGTGAGTGATTTGGTCTCAGTGTCCATTTTTGTTACTTATGGAATTGTGGCATACTCTGACATGGATCAGCAATATTTTTCTTAAAGAGTTAGATGTTATTTAAGTCACTTTTCATCATACAATGCAAAAATACTACCTAATAAGTAAATGTTGGGTATGGAAATGGCCCCCATTTTAAACTTTATTTACAAAATAAGTAACTGGCCCATCTTCCTTCCATCTGAGGCTCAGAGTAGGAATTTGTCTAATAGCTTTTGTCTAGTAAGTAATAGAGATGGGGGTGGAAGATCTGAACCCCTTTTCTCCTTATTTATCACTTTGCTAGAGGGACCCTAATAAAATGTAGTTGAAGTTGAGGCAGTAGCACATGCCTGTAATTCTCAGCTACTTGAGACACTGAGGCAGGACAATTGCAAGTTCAAGGTCAACCTCAGCAATTTAGTGAAAACTTGTCTCAAAAAATAAAAGAAGGCAGAAGATGTAGCTCGGGGGTAGAGTATCCCCAGGTTCAATCCCCAGTAGGGCTTTCCCTGTCCTCTAGCCTGCAGTTTTGCCAATGGAATGCTCAAGCAGAGATCAGGGTGCAGAAGAAGTTGGGAGGCATAAAGGTCGGACATTTTCCCACCAGCTTCCCAGGCCCGGTGAGAGGCCCGCTACACACAGTACTTTCTCCAGGTTCAGGGAGTTGCTCAAGCCTATAGAGGTAACAAGACTGATCCACCCACACTTCAACTAGCCAGGTGAGTCACTCTTCTCCAATTATCCAGTTCAAGTTTGCCATCTGTTACCTGCCTGCCATGCCCTGACTGACAAAGGGCTAATCTCTTGGAAACTTCTTTCAATTTCCACCTGGGAGCACTTTGTCCTCTCAACTTCCATTGCACTTTATGAGTCTGGTGACCACGTTTTAGCTTTGCATGTCTCATTTATTTCTGCTCCTGGAAAAGACGCTCTATTTCCGACTCATTCTGGTGACTGTAACTCCTAGTACATAAATCGGCCGCAGGAAGGACAACGTCTAACCTCCGGCCGGCATCTGTACAGCACCGTCGTGCGTACCGTTTCTCGTTTTTCACACGCTGATAGAAGAGAATCGTGGGACCAGGGTCCATCCTCTGGTGACACTACAGCAACTGGCCTCTTATGCTCAAAGTCCTGTAACCCAGGATAAGGAGTGTCCAAAGCTGGCCCTGCCTCTGTCCCCAGGAATTGCGGACAATAGGCTTCGAGAGTTGCCACTGTTCTCGCTCAGGGTGACGCTAACACCCGACCAAACGCCATTTGCTGGATTCCTCCCGCGCATGCGTAGTGGACCCGCGATCGCGCTGGGGGGGGGGGGTAACCATAGAGTACCACAGGTTGGCAGAGGGGCCAGAAGCCGGGCCGCTCCGTCCCCTGCTTCCGGCAGCGTCTCCCTGCTCTGGGAGCGGCTGCTGCCGCGTACGCAGTTTCCATGGGGACTGAAGATGGCGCCGCGAGGTGAGATTTCGGAGGTGTGTGAGTCTCTGGTCCCGATCCCATCGGTATCCGCCAGCCCCGCTACCCTCCTTCTTTTCCAGAGCTCGACCTAAATCTCCCATTCGCAAGTGTTAGGGACATCGCTCCTCCCTTTGCAAGGTGGGGTGTCGCAACCCCGCCCACCTTGAGTGCATGAAGGTGTCCAGGTGCAAGTCTCATATACTGTACCCCTACATCCTTGCCTGGGCCTATTCTGGGCTGGCTCAGTTACGAATCTTCTGGCTTGGAACAGGCCAGTGCTGGTCTCTGCATCCTGATTTCTCCTCCCAAGTAGTGACGGGGTTACATCTTTGAGGTGCCTAGCAGCTATGATGACCTCTGAGTTATTTTTGACTTTCTCCTCGCAAGCCAAAAGAGCAGAGATTGACAGTAATTCCTGGGAAAGAAGGAGAGGAAGCTCATGAATACCACACCCTTCACCCCCACCATCTCATTAAAAGCAATCGGAAGTGCCTTTAAGTAGCCCATCTCACTGGCTGTGACCTCATGTTTTCTCGAGGTTAGACATTGAAACATACAAGGAACAGAGCTTCAGCTGTTCCTTCCACCCATCCCACTTCTCTGTGCATGTCTTTTCAGGTAACCGGTTGTCCTCAACACCCCTGGAAATCTTGTTTTTCCTGAATGGGTGGTATTATGCTACCTATTTCCTGCTAGAACTCTTCATATTCCTGTATAAAGGTAAGCCTGGGCTTGACTACCCCTGCCCCAGCTTCCTTTTCTCACTTCAGCTCAGAGCAAACTCTTATCAAGAACCTTCTTACTTTTTGTTCTTTTCTGCCCCCAGCATCTCCTCTTCACTACAAGGCTGAAGTCTCTCCATCAGATGGCTTCTTTGAGAATGATTCCTTAGGAAACTCTTTTTTTTTTTCCCCTTAGTTGTTGACAGATCTTTATTTTATTTATTTATACTTGGTGCTGAGAATCGAACCCAGTGCCTCACACATGCAAGGCAAGTAGCTACCGCTGAGCCACAGTCCCAGCCCTGGAAACTCTTTAACAAGAATTTCTGAAGTTTGGGAAACGTAGGTTTCTCCATCTGCCTCTTTACTATCACTTTTCTTTGCTGAACCCCAGTTTCAGCCCATTGGTGACCCTCAGAAACTATGCAGTGGCCTCAGTATCCCTGTATATGCAGTCATTTTGAAGTGGAGATCCCATAGACTTAGAAGTAAAAGGCTGCCTCCCTCTAATAGACATAGTCACACTATGAGATAACATTTCCTGAGGCTGTAATAATGCCCATATCTCCCTAAGTAGTTCATGGAAAGCTAAGACTATGTCCTCTTTGTTCTCAAGTATATGGCAATTCTTGTGGGTGTTGTTATATGTTGTTTGTAGACTCTGGCTTTTTATTGGCAGGTCTCCTGCTGCCATATCCAACAGCCAACCTAGTATTGGATGTGGTGATGCTCCTCCTTTATCTTGGAATTGAAGTAATTCGACTATTTTTTGGTAAGTGTTGTTCAGAGAATATTTCCATTCCTTATGAGGCAAGCTGGTATCTGTAACTTGATTAACAAGACAAAGTGCATAACCTGGGCTCACTGTTACAGATTTGATCTGGTGGTATATTCCATTACTCCCTCTCTGAAGCATCAAGCTGCCACTTTATATGTATACATAAATATGTGTGTGTATTTAAATGTATATTACATGTGTATGTATGTATGTGTGTATATATTTATACATACATATGTGTGTGTGTTTGTGTGTGTGTGTATATATATATATATATATATATATATATATATATATATATATATATTTTGGGAGTAATGGATTTTTTGTCCTTTTCCCCCCGGTGCTGAGGATGGAACCCAGGGCCTCACACATGCCATTACCACTGAGCCATATCCCCAGCTTCAAGCTGCTGCTTTATATTTTGGGTCAGGGTTTATGTATCTGTTGCTCTGCAGGGGTAAAGGCAGGCAGTAGCATGATATCTCAGATAATTCCTTTGCAGTTGCCTAACTACTGCGAGAATGCCTGTTTTCTCTTAATGATTTGCTTGGGAGAATGGATTAAACTGTAAACCGGGTCTGGTGCCGAGGCATGCCTGTACAGCACTATGATCCTCTCTACTTCTCTGGATGAGGACTTTTTTATTTTTTAATTCTTTTTGCAGTACTGAGGATTGAACCCAGGAGCATTTTACCACTGAACTACATCCCCAGTCCCATTTTTAATTTTGAGACAGAGTCTCACTAGGTTGCTCAGATTGGCCTTGAACTTGCAGCCCTCCTGCCCCAGCCTCCCAAGTTCCTGGATTACAGGCACATACCTTTGTACCTGGCTGAATAAGAATCTCTTTTGCACAAGTTTTATATTCTCAGAAATAGAGAGTAAAACCCTTGTTAACTAGACTGTCTCATCCCTGGAAACAGTGTGAAAGCACAAGCTGAGGGAAAAGTCCTTGAAACATACAGGAAAGGAGAAAAAAGGCTCACATTAGTCACTAAGGAAAAGACAAAATAATGTTAAAAAGGGACACTAATAGTTCAAGTGAGAATAATTACAGAGGACCAGTAAATTTGAAAAGCAGCCCAAATTCCATAATAAAAAGCAAATGGAAACAATAAGGCAGCATTTTTTTTCACCCATTGGACGGGCAACAATAAAGATTTACAATATCAAGTTTTAAAGAGGGTGTGGGGAACAGATATTTTTATACATTCTGGTATATAAAAATGCATGCTTTTTATATTTTCTAAAAGTCCTTTTGAAGTAGTTGAAAAATTTTCAATGATTATATCATTTTTATAATTACACTTTTGTTTTTCTTTTTCTGAAGATCCCATTGTACTTTGTGTGGGAGCCAGACTGGAAGCAGGACCCCTGGAGTAAATGACTCCAAACCTGTAACTCCCCCAAGCTTTTTAGGACAGTGGGATTCACTTGTAAATGTGCACCTCCCCTCAGAGTACTTCTCTGCTTGCCAGTCCCTCATATCCTTCCCACCTTTCCCTTGAGGCCAGAGAAGGTAGGCCACTTGGAGGTGACTCCATGGGCTATGTTTGACAGGTACAAAGGGAAACCTCTGCCAGCGAAAGATGCCACTTGGCATTAGTGTGGCCTTGACCTTCCCATCTGCCATGATGGCCTCCTATTACCTGCTGCTACAGACCTACGTACTCCGCCTGGAAGCCATCATGAACGGCATCTTGCTCTTCTTCTGTGGCTCAGAGCTGCTGCTTGAGGTGCTTACCCTAGCTGCTTTTTCCAGGTACTGCTGCTGAGGGCCGGGTTCCCACCCCAGGGAGGGAGTCCTTGTTCTTTGGAGGCTTGAGGGGTCTAGAGGACTATATTTAAGGGGGTTTCTGTGGGACGGCCTCTCCCACTTCTGGTAGATGGAAGGTCCCTTCTTTGGAATTCTTCCAGTTGTTTAGGGCTAAGAGACTTGGAATATGAAACAGTTCAGACCAGCTGTTCTTGTTCACTGGTCTTTTAACATTTTCTTTTTCTTTCTGCCATCAGTATGGACAGGATTTGAAGTACAAAAATTTCAGCCTGCAGCTGAGGCTGACACCACACATATATACTTCTGGTACTGTTGCCTGCACCTGTGAGAAGCGGGGGTCACCACTGGCCTGGAAAGGTTGTACGGCTTTTCCTCAGCACTGACATTTGGGTGTCCAGCCCACAGAAGGCCAGTGGGCATGACTGGCTAGACCAGGACTGTCAGCCCCAGAGACTCTTCTATACTCCATTCTAGGGAGGGGCAAGGCTATCCCCAACCTGGTCCGTCCCAGAACAATTTCTTGCTGACCTCAAGTTCTCCTCTTTGACTGTTGTGGCCAGAGCATCTTGTGTGGACCATCTAGACTCCCTGGGCTTCCAGGAGGACCCGAGCAATATATTCCCTATATGTGCTGTGCCACATCTGACCTGTATGCACACAGAGAGCTTCATGGTGGTGGGCTCCCAGAATGATGCAAAATCCTCCTACCCCGTCTCTCAAGGACACTGAGCTCCAGAACCTTTGTAGTAGCTTATGGTATTATTTTTCTACTCTGATCATGAAGCAAACACTATTTTATAATAAATATGTATTTTCTGTTGTGGGGTTGGCAGCCTTTTCCTTGTGACACCTGTTCCTAGAATTTCATCCTCCCCAAGAGAAGGTAAAGACTATCACAGCAGTATGTTCTGAGGCTGTGCTTAGTAATACAGTGTGACACAAAGGCAGTGATGAAATGGTGTCCCACTGATTGTCTTCCTTAAGCTGCAGCCTGAATCAATCCTGAAAGGCACTGTCTTCAGTTGTTATTTGCAAAAGACTGCTTAAATGCTCTCCCTCTGCCTCAGAGTCAGTCTTGTCTTCCACTGCTCCTACAGATAACTGGAACTCCTTTCCAAGATGGGCCATGTGTTGTTGGAAGAAACATTCTAAACTCAACACACACATTTCCTTTTCAGTCATTGATGTAAAATTTTTGAATTAAAGGAACACATACTTTCTTCTTTTTTAAAAAAAACTGGAAAAAATGGTACCCAGGTAAATGTATCATTTCTTCAGATAGCTTTTGAACTCTTTTTAAAAAATTAATTTAATCTTAAATTCATTATATATGACAGCAGAATGCATTTCATTTCATCTTACACATTTAGAGTTGTTCTGTATCTTGTTGTCCCAAGAAGACACCAGGAGCCATGAAAGACAGCATCCACTTTAGGAAACCTTGAGGCCTGTGTGTCTGTTTTCAGATGTAATCCTAAAATATCTGCTTTTACTAAAAAAATATTGACCTTTAAATCTTCTATGATGGTTTTTAACTTGGCTTTTTTTCCTCCCGGTCATTAGGCTCCTTCCTGTCTTATGATCTCCACTGTCCAAAGCACTGATGCTTTTTCTTAATTTCCTCTCCGTGCTATTGCCTCCCAGCTGCCCTTGGGGTCTATCCAAAAACTACAATGGACAGGTCTCATCAGCCATAAAAAATAATAACAAAAAGACCAACAGGAGCTTCCCTGATAGTTCAATCTCAAATTCCATGAATACCATTTTCTGCTGCTTCTCACAATTGCTTTCTCTGGCCCTGCTTTGATGTAATCATTAGTATCCAACTGGAGGGGAATCCATCCTTCCTGACCTCCCAGTTTGATTTAGAGGTTCAGTGGTTATATCTATCGTTCAAGCAGCACAGATAAATAAATGGAAAGTTCAGTTGGAAGTGTAGAGGTGGCTTATAAAATCTCAACTTTAGAATTCAGAGGGGTGCATTCCTGTAATCCCAGCAGCTAGGGAGGCTGAGGCAGGAGGATCTTGAGTTCAAAGCCAGCCTCAGCAAAAGTGAGGTACTAAGTAACTCAGTGAGACCCCATGTCTAAATAAAATACAAATAGGGTTGGGGATGTGGGTCAGTGATTGAGTGTCCCTGAGTTCAATCTCTAGTACCAAAAAAAAAAAACAGAGGGACTATAGAGATCAACTAAGTCTAATTCCCTATTTTGTAGTATTCACAACTGGTTACTGACAGGTGGAACTAGAAGACTTGTACAAGTTTTTTTTTTTTTTTTTGGTGCTGGGGATTGAACCCAGGGCCTTATGCATGCTAGGCAAGCACTACCAACTGAGCTATATCCCCAGCCGTATAAGTGTCTCTAGATGAAGAAAATTCCATTTCTCAACAGGTACCACTTGCAGATGAGAATAATGGTCAAAAAAATGAGGACATGATTAGGTTAAGTGGAAGCATAGACCATTGTTTCCTGAGGGTGGCTCCATAAATGGTTATTCTTCTTGAAGTTGTTGAGGCCTCTTGGGCACACCAGAGTAATGTGTATTACGAAAATCAAGGCAGTGGAGGATGGGAAGTCTTTTCAGTTACTGTGGCCAGATGCCATGTGCATTGGAGTGTGAGGAAAACCACTTTATGGCCAATACATAAATGTTCTGGGACAGTGGAGCGGGTCTGGTCATGCAAGCTGGCAGACTGCTCAGTTGCTCACAACTAGAGCTAGTAAGTGGACTGCATGGTCATCTCTACTACAAATGAGAAAGCTTTAGAAAAAACAGGTTTAGGTTTCTGGCTTCATCCCATGATGGAAACTTGTGGGAAACAAATACTTCCAGTGTCTTGAAGACAATATTTAACCCATATGATTCTATGGGACAGAAGGAGATACACTCATGTTGTCACATCACATTATGTTCAAGGGTATTCAGCTTAGAATTTGAACTACAAGTAACCCACATATCTGTCTTATTTTTATTTTTATTTTTTTGTGGGGGGGACTAGGGATTAAACTCTGGGGACACTTAAAAACTGAGCTACATCCCCAGCCTTTAAAAAATTTTTTTAAAAAATATTTTTGTTGTAGATGGACACAATACCTTTGTTTATTTTTTTATGTGGTGCTGAGGATCAAACCCAGTGCCTTGCACATGCAAGTGCTCGCTCTACCACTGAGCCACAACCCCAGCTCACATTTTTTGTAGATGATATCGTGAACCACCTCTGACTCTACTGAATGCTGTTTCCTCCATTCATATTTAGACATCAAATGGATTATAGAGATCAACTTGGTTACGTTATTGGGTAATGACATGCTGTTAACCTTGAACTCCTTGTCATCAGAATAGTAAATCTATGATATGATCACTCTGCTTACAGACCTTCAGCCCTGCACAAACTTCTTTCACCAAGCTTTTAAATAGCTTTTCTGGAAACCCAAGATTACCCTATAGCACTTCTACTAAGCTTTCTCATCTATTATTCCTCCAATTTAGATGGACATATTCACATTTTATCTCTGGTTCTTAAAACATTCCTGTGTGAAGACAGGTGCCCCACCCGCCTGTAGTCCCAGTTACTGCGCAGGCTATGTGGGAGAATCACTTGAGCCCAGGAGTGACCAGCTCAGGCAACATAGTGAGACCCCACAACTTAAAAACAAAACAACAACAAAACCCATGTGTAAAGACAGAACAGCTATTATTTTCACCTTTTAGATGAAAGAAACCAAGGCTACATTGCTTTTCCATGATTAAATTGATGGAGGAACTAGGCACTAGTGATCAGATAGCTTTCTTCCCTACATGAACTTGATGCAATGTAAACTGAGCTCTTATAAGGTAGGAAATATTCTCTGAATCTAGTTAAGTCTTACTTTGATGGGTAAAGGATGACTGAGAAGTTTCCTTTAACCAGGGTATTAGAAGGCTAAGGAAAAAAGCTAAAACTTCAAGGGGCACCTCCAAAGTAGGCCATATCCTGCCCAACTTGCCTCCTTCCTCACTCCTCCTAGTACTTTGCTAAGGTCTCTTAGGAGGCTCATCAGTCAATCTTGGCTGTAGAGCAATGTGCAGTTCCAGCTAAGAACTTGGGGTTTTGCTACATCCCACACCATCTACATCAGCCCATGCCCATGCCCAACACCTCAACAAATCTATTCAATGCAGAATCCACAAAACAGCTCACACCCCATTTATTATTTAAAAATATTTTGTTACAAAAGGAAAAAAAATACAATGCAGTATAAAAGATTGACAGCGTCATCAAGTTTATTACACAATTTTCAACCTATCAGAAAGACAAACAAATCACCGACAACAGGGGGATGGGGGGGGGCCTTGGCCTTTTTGAGGGCTGGTTTTTTTTTTTTTTTTCCTTTTTGCTATCAGGAAATAAAACTAAAATTGTCATTGAGTAAAAACAAAACGAAAATGGGGAGAAAATAATTCTCCGGGTAAACGGCTTTTCAGATATTCTATATATTGTTTTTCCTTAAACTGTCACCTTACTTGGTTTTCTCTACATTTTAAAAAGACACCCGGAGCTGCTCTCGAGGATAAGCACATCACTTAACACTTGGCCAGTTGGGCAGGGTGCCATGTTCTGAAGTGGTAGGGACAGGGTTGGGGGACAGGGGGGAAAAGCTACAACCTGTAGCCTCTGTCCCAAGGGAATGTGCCTCTCCAACCCTGGGGGATTCCCCCAGTGACTGAGGGGTGTATCAGAAACGTGCTGGGAACAGAGGAAGGGTTCAGTCCAATTCAGTCTCTCCCTTCTAAGCCAGAAGGGTCTCCAGCGACCCTATGCCTCACATGCCGTCTCATCTTACATGCCACGTCTCTTCTCACATTAGATGTCATATGCCCCGTAGATATATGCAGAAGTAGCATCACCCCATGGGTACTGCAGGACCCTATTGCTGCCGCCTTCCTCAACAGCAACCACATCACAATTTGGATGTTATGGGAAAAGCAATTCCATTTGCCCGTGTAGAAAATGGCCCCCAGAGTGCTGGTCCTTAGAACTCTGAGCTGAGTTCATTCAAGTCAGGCTTCATTTCTTCCTTGCTCCTTATCGGAGGAAGACCTCCAGGCAGAGTGAGTGGAGCTATTACATCAATGTCAACAGATGGAAAGACACCAAATTTGTGACTTTACCTGCCTACCAGTGCTGGGTTATCCCACAATAAGTAAAAGTATGTACCTGGGGGATGCAAGCCCATGCTTACATCAAACCTGAAGAAAGAAAAGCCTATGGAAGTAGGCCATATCCTGCCCAACTTGCCTCCTTCCTCACTCCTCCTGGTACTTTGCTAAGGTTCTTCATTGCTGAGGTCCCGATATCCCCATCTCCCAATGGCAGTAGCTTCCTCTAAAACAAGGAAGCAGCCTTCTTGGGGGAAGGGCTCCATGTGTTAAATGGAAAAGCCCCAGGGAAAGGGAACGCTTCAGAGAGCTGGTTATTGCAAGAGCAACCAAGCACTAAGCAGCAGAGGGTGGCAATTGGCTCTGCCAGGCAACCTAGCAGAAAGCAACCTCACGGCCTTCTCAGCTTAGGAGGGACAAGTCCACTGAGAAGGCTGGGCAGCAGGGAATCGAAATCTCAAGTTCAGCCCTCTGGGAGGTCAGGGAAATAAACCGTCAATACGTGAGAGGGGAAAACCAAGAACAGAAGTAGCTTTTCACAAGGTATTTTCTGTTCTCCTGGTCCCTCCTCAAAGGGCTGAGAAGGTAAAGGAGTTAAAGAAGTGGTATGTTAGCAAGGGGTTTGGACCCTCTTGACCCCATCAAATCTAGTGCTGAGGGCAGGACCCTGGGTATATTTTGGCA